CACTGTTCCAGAACAGTTCAAACCAAATATTCAGATGTGTGCAGCGCATTTTATGGAGGACGAGGACTGTTTCCCATGGGAGAGTAGCCTACAATGCCGGTGTTCAGGTGAATTCAGTTCCCCTGTTTTCCCTTTGGCATGCATGCTGACCACAGTCTATGATACTGACAAATAATGCTGACTCACAGCCTGTAAGTACGTTTTCATATTTAAAGAATTTGCCACTTTGCTAGTGTGAAGAGAAGAACATTTTAATAATCTAAAGAACCTTTTATCTAAACTTTTTTCAAATATAAAGAACCTTTTGTTGAATGGAAAAGTTCCATGGATTTTAAAACTTCTTCGTGGAACCATCAATGCCAATAAAGAACCTTTATTTTTAAGAGTGTTCTATGGCATTGCTGCAAAAACCACCTTTTGGAACCTATTTTTAAGAGAGTATGTATTAAAACCTGCCAATGTTTATTATGTTACATTGAATACTAAGTAGATTTAAATCTTTCCTTAGATGGCTTACGCTCGTCCAAGTTCATTTCTTGGAAAAGTTTCAGATTAAGTCTATGTTTCTGCGGATAATGGGCCCCCTGCTTGGGAGAGCGATCTGAACTTTACCAAGGCCGATGGGAGATTTATTTTATAACACCAGCAGATCCTCCCTCACACTACACCTCAGAAAGAGCCGGTGGGTACGAATCCCAAGTTAAAGTTTATTTTATTTCACAGCAAAGCTGAAGCGGATACCATACTAAACCTGCTGGGCTTGGACAATATCAACAGTATATAAGACACTGTGACTTCTGACACAGTCTAACTGATAAGAATAAGAATAACTCTTCACATGGGATCACCTGATGCCTCTTTATGACCAGACCTTCTGATTTACTCCATAAGTAAATATATATATAATTCTGAAAATAGACAGTTATATATACAGTATATAGTGCATACAAGGTTGGTTTCTAATGCATACGCTTTAAATTTTGAACATTAACAAGGTTACGGTCATGTACTTAAGTATCTTTTTGGTAGTTTACACAGTCTATAAATACCATATTCATCATTAAAATCAGATTAGATTCAACTTTATCGTCATTGTGCAGTGAACACAGAGCCACTGACTATGCACAATGGCAAGTGTGATCTAATCTTAGCTGATTTTATAGTTGTTTCAAAGCTGCGGATAAATTTAATTGGCCATTTCAGGTGACAAGTTTTAGGGTGTGTTCTAGAGCAGAAGGCTGCAAGTAGTAAACTAACTAACTAAATAAATTGAATAAAATAATAAAATTATTAAAGTAAATAATACAAATAAAACGATTTATGTAAATAAATAATAGGCTACATCTAACAGTACAGCATTAGTGAGCAGAAAAAAACGTAATGTAATAGGAAAAAAAAACAAATATTTTACACATTATAGCGTTATATTTTTCACAGTATTTTAACCTTTAAACATGAAAATATATAGCTATCTTTAACATTTTAGGATGGAGTTCCTCACACTTACTTTTCGTCAATTAAATGTGGAAACTGCATTAGGCCTACTTGTAGGCTATGTTTTGTCTAGATACTTAATTTTAATAACCATGCTTAAACTTAAAAGCACAACATCTCTGCACTTTTTACACCTCTGGATATGTTTTTTATTTGCCAGTTGGATTTGATGAGATGGTTTTGGGTAGATTGGTCGATATGAAAATTAATCATCATTTTTTGGCTTTGGCAGTTATTTTCAAAATGCTATCAAAACCTTATACAAAGGATGTACCAGTTCTGTAAAATTAGCAAGGGGGACTTCTGGAAGATTTAATATAGGCAGGGGAATAAGGCAAGGGTGTCCGATCTCCCCTTTTTTGTTTTTGTTAGCAACACAAATAATGGCCCTTCACATTAAAAAATTGTCAAGGAATTGCTGCATTAGGGAGAACATTTAAGTTATGGCAGTTTGCCGATGACACTACCTTATTTTTGAAAGATTGGCATGAAATCATTAAAGCAGTGAACTGTATAAAAGAATTTTCAGAAGTATCAGGGCTAAGAATGAATATGAATAAATCAGTTCCGTTTCCTCTCAAAAAAATGTCTTTAACTAATTTCCATAATATTCCAATTAAAAACCAAGTAACATATCTGGGAGTTGTTATATGTAATGATGAATATTTGCGTAATGATTTAAATTTCAATCCAATTATTACTAAAACTAGTAAGAGGTTTAATATGTGGTTGCAAAGGGATTTGTCAATTCAGGGGCGGGTACTTCTGTCAAAAGCTGAAGGTATTTCCAGATCAGTCTATACGTCCTTATCATTGGATATTCCTCCTAAAGTTACCAAGCAATTGGATAAAATGCTTATTGATTTTATCTGGAAAAACAAGCCTCATTACCTGAGAAAAGAAATGTTATGCAACTCCAAAGATCATGGTGGTTTAGAGGTGTTGAGTTATGATACTTTAAACAATGTATTTAAAATAAATAGGCTTATTCAATATTTAAAAAATAAAGACAGTATTTGGAACTCCTTTCCCAACTATCTGTTCAAGCAATTGGGTGACCTCGAATTTTTGTTGAAGTGCAATTATTCAATTTGGACTCTGGCCTACAAACATCATTTTTCACCAAGGAAGTACTATATTTGGAACAACAAAGACATCTTATATAACAATAAATCTTTATATTTTGATTACTGGTTTATAGTAATATTATAGTAGTTAGCCAGCTCCTAAACAATGATGGAGTTTTATTAACATATAAGGAATTTTTGAATAAAAGTAAAATACCAGTTAGACCTAAGGAATTTGCAGTTGTAATGGATGCAATCCCAAAGTTTCGATCCTTCTCAGAAGTGCATCACAGGAGAAAGATTTGAATTTTGAAGAGATCAAGAGTAAAATATTTATTGGTAACACAAATATTATACAAAATAGACTCTCAAATAATTATATTAGGAATATACTTAATAACATTGTTTATCCTCCAGCTCGCTTTTTCTGGTCTTCTGTATTTGGAGATGTGAATTGGCGTAAAGCTTGGCGAACAGTAGACAGATTCTATATTAATAACAAAGTAAAAGAGGTTTCTTTTAAAATAATGCATAGAATATATCCAGTTAAACATGTGCTGGAATGCTTTAAATTAGAAATTGATTACTCTTGTGATTTCTGTAAAGGTGAAAAGTAAACTGTTTTTCATTTATTTTTTCACTGTATACATGCAAAAATATTTTGGATTGATGTGGAGTTTTTTATTAAGAAAATATTGGATATTTCTTTGCAGATGAGTGGATTTGATGTAATAATATACTTCAGTGATTATGGATTTGACAAAGATAAAGCATATTTCATACAATTGTTAATTTTAATGGGGAAGTTTCATATTCATAAAATGAAGTGGTCAGGCTCCAAACCAAACTTTTCTCATTTTATAAACGATTTCAAGTTGTATTGTAAGGTTCTGTGTAATTACACAAGTAAAAAGGCTATTAGAACTCATAATATTGTAAGCAGGTATGCTATTGTATAAAGTGACACCTTTCATTATATTAATGTTGTTCATCTTTTGCTATTTTTCTTTTTACATTTGAATGTTTCTCGTTGTATTGCTCTGATGTATGGCATAAAACAAAAGAAAGATAAAAAAATAAAAAAAATAAATAAAAATAAATGTTGAATGGAAACGCCCTCGAAGCTGATTGGTTTAATCCAGCGGATGGGTGGAGAAATGGGTGTGTCACGGTTTGTTTATACTACGTCACCTACCGCTTCAGCGCCAAAACGTAGACGCACGAGCTGATGCTGACTCGCACACAGGCTGACAAGGTAAATACAACAGACTCAAGATATCGCGCTTACACATCAGAAACCAAGAGGTAATTTTTCACTATTTTAAATTTATTCGACATCGGGTTTTTTTCTCGATAACAAAGAACATAGTTTCATATTAGTCCATCTTGACTCTGTGATGCAGCTTGGATCCATTATCGCACTATACGGGTATCTGATGCAATCGAACTCGTGCATGTAATCATCTTGTCAAATTAACTTACATCCACGACATTAACTATATTACGTAAAATAATATTTTGATGCATGCATTAGCCGAGCAATGATAACAAAAAAAATTTTTTAAAACGTAACATTACATTAGATTAGTGTACTTCTGTCAACAAACAATAATGTACATGCATCAATTGTGAATAAATGAATTACGGAGTAAATTTACATTTCATCCTACGAAATAACTGTCATTATGTTTACACGTAACGCAAACGTTACTACTGTTGCAAATATTCGTCTATCCTGTGCATATTATTTATCTTAATTTGTTACATGTCTAATTATAATATAACACACCTTCAATGTTGTCGATCACAACTATTCGCCCTCTTCTTATTCTGTTATTTTGGAGGATTATTTATCATACGCGTGTCCTAGCGAGCCAGGGAGAACGAACACCGGTGATTAAATAGGCTATAATTCAAGTGTCTGTTTAAATTTCTCAACTGCTTCGTTTTTGTTCCTCACATTTGCTGTAACGTTAGCCTATCTTATATTTAAGATTTTCACAAAACGTGGCGGTTTTAGGTCTAGGCGCGTTTCGTTCATTGAAGCGAGTTCCCGCTCATCGGACACATTGGACATTGTGCCCCGGAAGTTGTTATCTATTGTAACAGTAGCATCAGCCCAGAACTGGGGCAAGTTCAAGCTTTTTTTTTATTTATTTATTTTATTTTTTATTAACAAGATCAAAATACATGTATATGACAAACACTATACATGATATAAACAATAAACATACATGAAATAAACAATTTCACACTAGAGGGGCTGTATACAAATACAAATTTATATAAAAATATTAAAGCGTTTACAAACTTTCACCGTTTTAATTGCTTTTTGTTTCATAGAAAATCGTATAGTATCAATATAATGCTCCATTTCCTTCCTAAAAGAAAAAAAACAAGTTTTTTTGCATGAGAACTTACATTTGTGAATATGAAATTTTGCATGTAAAAAATCAGATTTATCATGTAAACGTGACTGTGCTTTTCTTTGCTGTTCTCCAATATACCAAATAATACATCTTTCCATAACAAAACAAAATGATTATCAATATTTTGTACAATAAAATTACATACATTTTGCCAAAATAGTTTTACAAAAGGGCAATGCCAAAACAAATGTGCCGCAGTTTCAGGGCAACTGACACAAAAGGAGCAACTAAAATCAATATCAGATTTAAATTTTACCAAATATTTGGCTGGGTAAATCCTGTGTATAATTTTGAATGATATTTCCTTAACCTTGTTTGTAATTAAATATTGATTAGGTATTAACCAAACCTTTTTCCAAACAATATTGTCTGTCAGGCGATTCCAATATGAATAAACATAAGGCAAAGACACAATGTCTCGTTGAAATAAAGCTCTTACGGAACTGTTGTGTGATTTAAGAGAAAAACAGATGTTACCTATATAAGAACTTATTATATTAGGCAGAGACCACTGTTGGATGTTAATTCTTGTCTGATGTCTAAATAACATACAAACCTCAGGAGAAATAGCCCCAAAAACTTTAGCATAGTCCCCTGGTGTAACAGGAATCTTATAATGTGCCAAAAACTCACCATAAGTAAAAAGAAAACCATTCAAATTAAATAACTGATCCACCAATATGATGCCTTTATCAAACCAGTGTTTTAGATAAAGCGATTTGTGTTTATATAATATATCCATATTGTTCCATATATAGTACCTATGAGGTGAAAAATTGTGCTTGTGGATCAAAGACCATGACAAAAAGGCCTGACGGTGAAATTCAGCTAGTTTTCCTGGTATTTTATCAGATTGGGATGTTCTCTTTTATTCTGGAGGGCAAGGGCAGTGACTGTACCATCAAGCGTATTTTGCAGTATTAAACACGTATTTATACCGATTTCATCAGGCTCCGAAAATTCTTCAAAAAGAACACAAAGAATGGCCTTCTCAGCTGCCATAGTTGCAACTCTTGCGTCATCAGAACAGGGTGTTCAACGCATCACCGTTTCCGTTTAAAAAACGTTTTGCACCGTTTTTGTCGGGGCTGAACGCAGCCCTGATCTCACACCTATCCCTGTTGCAAATGACGCTGTTTTAATATTACGTCGGAGGGGTACCCGATTCATCCCGTGACGTTCGTTGTATTTTATTTGTGTTGCCATATATTTTACCCCTGCTGAAAAAAAAATCAGTTTTAAGAAAATTTGCTGTTTTGTTCGGTTCACCAACACAGTGCTGTTTTTAGTAAGAGACCAACCAACCAACCAGCATTGTTTTGGACCACCAATGTTTAAATGTTTTTGATAATAACCAACATGCAGAACTGATTAATAACAAAAAACATATTATGCATATTATGTGTACAATAATGTCTATAATAATAATTATCATTACTACATATTTGCCACTTGAGAATTAATGATTGAAAAAGTATTATACAAATAGATTATTTTTATAGATCATTTAAATATAATATAAATATCAAAACATTATTATTGAATAAACTGAATAGAATACTTTTCCTGTGAACAATATATGGCATTTGGGTGCTATTCTTTAAAGAACCAACCAACCAACATCAGTAGTCCTGATATTAAAGAACTGATAAACAGTTAAGTAGATAAGTGCAAATACTGGTAAAACATTGGTTAAACAGATTTTCAATCTCAACCTTTTCATATTTTTCAATCACAGATTAAGGGGAAAACTGTGGTAGATAGTTCTGTTGGCTTGCTGTAAGAACTTATACATTTAGCTCTCTTTACTTGTTTATTGTACTTTATAAACTTTAATATTTTATGCAATAGCATTGGTTGAACAAATTTGCAGTTGTTGTTGAAGGATCGCTGGCATTTTGCACAATCCGTGGAGCCCTGTTAAGGGGGCAGTGTGATGGCATTAAGCCAGCTATTTGAGAGGTTGCCAGGTTCATTCACAGCAGTATGTGCCACCCTGAGGCCTGAATGAGTCTGTTTCATAACCATGAATAGTTGAGTTCTTGAGGAATGAAGCTCTCATGCTGGTTTCTGCTTGTACTGTGGCACCCGTGGCCAGTGGAACCTGTGGATCCCTAAACAGTTTTGTAGTATCTCCTTCTCTACGGCATTTCTCCTTGTTTGGTATAAGAAATATATATTCCCGTGCTGTGTTTATATGCACTGCATGTAGACTATTAAATGTCCATTTACCCACAGATATCATTTCGTACTTGTGTATATCAGTGTGCTAAATCAGCTATAAGGGTTATTGGAATGATCAAGGAGTAATACTGATCCTGATTTATTAAGAAGCAGAGCCTGGGAATGATTGTTCCTAGCAAATCCTGTCGAGGAGTAACTTTATTAAGACTGAATAGGTCTATAATGTTTCTAAATGGGTCAAATATATCATCTTTCATGTCTCAAATGGTTTATTACAGTATGTAATCACCCAATTTCATAGTTCCAGGGAAATTGTACATATTAAACATTGAATAGGGGGGTTTGTGGTGTTTGTTTTGAAATTTTAGATGTTGAACTAACACATTTACTGAGTTGCAATAATACAAAATCCAGTCTGCAGAAAAGCGAACCAAAACAAAAACAACACCTAATGTTAACCAATGGAGTCCTCGCTCTCCTGTTAAGAAGGTTAACCGGTTGGCGGGTCTTTATGTAAGCCTCTTAGAATCCATTGAGGTATTTATTTTGAGAAAAGCCCAGTGAGTCACTTCAAAACACTAATGTCTTACACTCATGTATGGGTTACTTGAACCATAGACATGATGATGAGTCCTGTAAGAGTATAGATACTGTAGCCCATGTGTGTGTGTGTGTACTTCAACATTCCTTCACGTCTAAGCCTGTGCATTCAGCGATCATCATTGTTGCTACTAGCCTGCACATCTAGTGTTCTATAAGTGGGTCAATGATTAATTTATTTAAAATGCTTTAAAAATTACATAAATGAAAAAAAAAAAAAAAATATATATATATATTAGTGCTGTCAAACAATTAATCGCATCCAAAATAAACGTTTTTGTTCACCTAATATATGTGTGTGTACTATATTTATGTATATATCAATACAAACATATGCATGTATATATTTAAGAAAAATATGTAGTGTTTATATATTAAATATATTTATATATAATATAAATTATATGAATATACATGTAATACATGTAAATATTTTCAAAATATATACTGTATATGTGTTATAAATACATAATAAATATACACCGTACACACACATACTGTATATTTAGTAAACAATGACTTATTTTGGATTCGATTAATCACGATTAATCGTTTGACAGCACTAATTTAAATATAATAATCTTGTACAATATTGATATAAACATACAAAAATTAAGAAAATCTATTCCATTCGTGGTTTTCACTCGCTCCAAGAGCGCTCCACCACTGCTCCATCACGAGTACAATTCGTGCCAACAGCCCTTAATATAACTGCATATTTAGCTTGAGTTCACATGTTAAACATATTTAGCTAACTTGATAGAGAAGGATCACTCAAATCAGAAAGAATGGAAGCTATGATGACAGCAATGGACAAGAGCGGGAAGTTATAGTTCTCAAGGAATTTGTTTGTTCCTTCTAGATACTGAATATTTTCAGCTGAAAGCATGATTTAAACAAGTACTACAACACTTATTGACACGCAGTCGCTCTCTCAATAATGCATTCAAACAAATGTAATCTTACAGTGCTTCTTCATCTGTATCCGATTTCGAATGAGCAGTAATCTGTAAGAAATGCATCGATCCGTAGGTAAAATAACTGACGAAAACGTACTGTTATTTTCATCACAAACAAAATTTGCACTGCAAA